TATTATATATGTGTTTACAAATAGTCTTCAGTGCTTGATAAAACATTTTTTAAGTTGAGATGTGTTCAGAAGCATAATGTTTCGGAAACATTACCACAGAGGAAAATTCAGATGACTTAAATTTTCTGAACTAAGAAAATGTAGTCAGGGGTTTATCGTTCAGCAAGAAAAATACATGTCACACAAGGAAGGTTTTCTTCAGAGCAAAGGCTGTTAAACAGGTCCCCTAACCTCGGAAATCTCTAATAAACAACCAGGTAGCTGAGGTACAGTGCTTCTGGAAGGATGGAGTTGGCTTGGGTGAGCATTGAAAGCACATGATATAATTATATATTCCTTCACTAAGGATCTCACACAGTAATAGACATACAGGATACTTCATGATGCTGAAACCCTAGGAACAAGGAAGTCCTATCTTACATTACTCTGGTGTTCTTAAACTACTCAGCGTAGTGTGATTTTGAATGAAAGCTCAGTGACCAGAGAGCTGGGTCATTTGAGAAGAATAACAAATGAGAAGGGGGAACTGGATTTTATTTCCTAGTTCTACAAATAAATGTTCTTCAACTTGGGAGAATCACTGGTTCTCTCCAGGTTTTGAGTCTTCTTATCGGTGGCTCAGGGCCTAAGATGAGGCACACCTCACAGCACTGCAGCCCTGCCATTCTGATCCTGTCCATGCTGCCTGTTGCTGGATAAGGAACAAGGACAATGAACTCCTCTTATCACTATGTCAGCCAACCAATATCAGTATGCCATAAAATATTCTATTACAGTGTTTAAATTACAACTTTCTGATATCCAAATGATTTAACTAGTCATATTTCAACTGATGGCCCCAGCATGAATCAAACATGTACTTAAGAAAATGAAGAAAGGTGCATTAGCTGCATGTTTGTGTGAACTTTAGAATGGATGGGCTTTATTCATTCAACAAACATTTATCGAACTCTGTCTTTAGGTCAGGCAGCCCTGATCTGGGGATGAAAACATGATAATCAGGCCCTTACCAGTAGAAGTGTATATCATTGCCACATTATGTAAAAAGTTCCATAGCAGAGGTATGTATAACCTGTGCAAGAAAGGAAGTGCAACTATGTCTAGACGTGAGAACGATGGATGAAGACTTCCCAGAGGACTACAGGTGTTGGAATAAAACTTGGCAGTATAGAATGATACAACAGGAGAGGGAGAAGATGAAACTATAAAAGTAAGCATACATTAAAAAGCTCTCCTTTAATCCCAGTCCCTGAGAGGCAGAGGCAGGAGGATCTCGGTGAGACTGAGGCCAGCCTGATTTACACAGCAAGTCCCAGGCCAGGTTGGGTTATAAGAAGGCCCTATCTAAAAAATAAAACTGAAAGAAAAAAGAAAAAGGAATTTGCAAATTTGAAAAAATGGGACTTATAAAAACAAAGATAAACTAACAAAACTCAGTATATTGACTAAGCATGTAAGGTAGAGAAAATGTCCCATATTAAAGAGATATGACACACAGAATGAAAAGCTCTAACATGAGGATTATTCGAGCCACAGCAGGTCTTGGATAACAGCCTGGCCCTTCCCCAGCAGAGGCCAGCCACACCCTTTCTGTTGTGAAGACAGTGTCTTAGACATGCTAAAGTGTATACAGAGAACAAAATACTTCAATTGAGAAGTACTGCTATAAAGAACATAAGTAAACTGAGAATCAAGGGTCTATTTCACTTGCATCAATGGGTATAAAATTCTTAATCAAAATAATAGAAAATTGAATTCAATAACAAATGATAAATGCTTTTTCCTGATTACAAAGACATTTGCATATTTGAATAACTATAAATGTCAAAACCCAGAAAAACAAGTAACAAAAATCTTACATCTTTTCAGCAAGTATATATGTCTATATAATAACTCAGTACCCTGTGACAGATAGGCTTCTTATTTTCTCTTCTATTCTAAGCTTTGAAAAAATCTAAACAACTGCATTGTGAATCAGAAAACACGGCTGAGGTTCAATGTTATTCCTGAACAAGGAGCATCAATGCAATCACGTGCTGTTCCCCACAAGGTTCTTCCACAGGAGCATGTGAGATGGTTGAGTGGGTAAGGGCATGCGCTGTGCACGTCTGAGGGCCTGAGTTACATTCTTGGCAACTATGTAAAGGTGGAAGGAGAGAAGAGACTCTGGAAGTTGTACTCTGACCTACACACACACAGACACAGACACAGACACAGACACACACACACACACACACACACGCACACATACACACCATACAGACTCATACACACCCAGTGACAATAAATAAAGTTGTTTGGTGTCTTTGAGACAGGGTTTCCCTGGAGCTCCAGATGGCCTGGAATATGGTATGTCGACCAAACTGCCCTGGAACTCACAGAGATCTGCCTGCCTCTGCCTCCAAAGTGCTGGGACTGAAGGCATGTGCCACCATGCCTGGCTAAGTAAAGTATTTTTAAAAAGATGGTTTCTCCACAAGTTTTTGTGTCGTTAGAGAAAGGTTAAAGGATAAGTTGTATAACAAGGCCTTTTACAAATGTTCAGTCTTACTTAAAGGTATACTGCAGATTTATTCTAATAAAACAATAAATATACACTATAATGTTTGTATTTTATAATCAATTTAAATAAGTTAAATTACATATGCACACACATATATATACACATATTATCTATACCTATATCTATGCAAAGAAAATTTCTTCTTAAATGTCTTCAGTTTTATGGCTACAGTATCCCACAGCATCTACTTTGAAACCACCTAACATGTTTTCCTTACTAGCCAGTGAGTAAATGCCAGTGACTCATTAGTATTAGTATATGTAGTGACATTACAATGCAGTGTATTTCAAAATGGCTTCTATCACTTTTTACTTAACGATTGTGAACAAAATTTCTTAGAATGAACTGTACCTTACATTGAACCTTTTGCAAGAATGATTGACTCATTAGAATTTAAGTAATGTGAGGAGACTGGAATGTTTCAATTCCAGAGCCAAATTATCCTGAGATATGTTTAGTTCCCCTTAATAGCCATCTATTCCCAATCCATGCATATGACCTAATATCTTTGTGATCATTAAGTAAATAATCTGGAATATGCAAACAGACCTCGAACCTCCACCCATCAAAAGTCTGAGAATGCCATTAGATAGCATCTAAGGCTATAGCAGAGATTTCCTTGCTTTTTGTGACTTACCTACCTGAGGTATCTACCACTACATTTAAGAAGTATCTTGATTTAATTTTCTTTGTTCTGTTATACAAAACCTCACAGAAGAGTTACCATGTTAGACATGGAGTCTTTGGGAATTTAAATCTGTATTGCTGTGTCAGGCCCATGGTCACTCATATCTGACTCCAGATCAAACTATCTCTTGTCTCTTTTGAGGTGATAGTTGTGTTTTGCATTGATAATATGCATACAAACAAGTTGGCAATGTATGTCCAATAATTGAGCAAGCTGCACCATGACCTTTCTATTTCTACCAAATAGCCCCTTAAAGAAACGAAAAAAAAAAAAAAAAAAAGCTACTAAGATGAATGAGAATCCCAGAGGTGGTCTTTGCAGGCGAGGTGCTTCCGTCCATATTACCATTCCTAGTTCTAGCCCTTGGGAAGCAGCCACTCTGCATTACCTTGTGATTTTACTCTTGATTCTCACAAATTCAAAGGAAGCAATAGAAAACACTTCTCTAAATATTTTAGTGTTTACAATAACAACCAGAGTAAAATATGAGAGAAATGGATAAGAGTGGGCTATACTCCCTTGCCTGCTTAATAGCTATTATAAAAGAATTATAATAAAAATTTTATACTCCACAATGGTCAATTGTTGGGCTATAAACTTGACAGGTTCCTATAATAATAAAATTGATGATGGTGATAATCCTCAGCAGAAGGAAAACACACCGGTCACTGAATATCAGACCAGGAAAGTGGTATCTTATTGTATAGTCTTGTTGTCACCAGTGGTCATCTTCTCTTCTTTAATTTGAATACCACAGGTTTTATTCTTTGATATTGAGTCCATCCAGGACTCCCACTGCCAATCATACCCAAATGTAAACATTCTCACAATGAAAAGAAAGAATTACAAAGAGCCTTGGAGATTCAAAAGTCTTGCCTTTGTGAATTTGTACCCTTCCGGAGGTCCCTGCCCTGGGTGAAGCCTGTCTCAGAAAAAGCACAATTCTGTTGTCCTTGAATATCCCTGCCACCTACCTGAAACCTTACACTGGGACCTGTTCCAGCCTTGGTGGACAGGACTGATCATTTGAACCTGAGCTGTGATTCAGTCCAGCAATCTCCAGCAAACCCACAGCCCTGGGCATGTTCACTGGAAATGTATTTTATCCATTCTACTTTCCCCCCACTGTCTATTCATGTGAGTCTCATCATGAACAGACAGCAGAGAAGTGCTTTTCTATTTATCATGCACCTAAAAAAGAAAATCAAAAAACATGATGCCTGAATTTGTAATATGATCAAGCATTTTAGTAGAATGAATACAAAAATGTCAGGAGACAACAGTGGGGTGTAGGATATGAAATTCCCTATCTAGACTACCTATCTCCAAGTTTAAACCAGCAAGTCCACTCAGGCCTCCAAAACATTCCAAAAGTGGGCAGCAACTGTGCTCATGAATGAAAGCTCAGTGTACAGGTATCCCCTGACTGAGCCTCTGCCGTGCCACTCACAATGCTAAGAGTTTTGAATGTCCTATGTTATTTAGCTCTCAAAGCACTTCGCCAGTGGTTTCAGGAATTACTCTCACCCTAAAGCATACAGATGATGGAAATCTGGAGCAATTACATAGCTTGCCCAATTTATACAAATAGGGGCAGAGACTGTAGTTAAGCGTGAGAAGAAGATATGTGCTCTTGACAATATTTAACAGAAGCACTTCAGCTGGTTCTGGATGAAATGCAACCCCCATCTCTGCATTACATACATAGTCTCTGCCGCCTCATCATAAGCAGACAGTCTTAGTTGGTACCTTCACCTCCTCTGCCACCTGCCTCCAGCTCCCGGCCAGCTTGACATCTGCAGTAATAGCTGCTGATTGTATTACTGCACTGTCTTGACAGCCACCATTGTCAACAGAATATTCATTTCTATCTGCAGTGATGGTTAAATAGAGTCAGTCTTTGGAAATGGAAAGAAACCTCATCAGCTTTCCTGAAGTTGATCCATCACTTGGCATCATTCTCTGACTTTCATATTTAACAGAGATAGAAGAGCATCACATTTCATTTTATTTTTTTGTTTTGTGTATGTGTGTATGATGCATGTGTATGTGTATAGGTATGTGTGTGAGCATGGGCATGAAATGCCATGTCATGCATATGGGGGTCTAAGGACAATCTCAGGTACTGGTCCTCACTTTCCACCTTATTTGAGCGAGGACTTCTTTGTTGTGTGCTAGGTTAGCTGGCCCATGAGAAACACAGGTTCTCCCATCTCATTGTAGAGCATAGGGGTTGAAGATGTACTCTACTACGTCAGCTTTACATGCATCTTAGGCATTTGAGCTCAGGTGCTCAAGTTTGTGCAACAAGTATTTCATGCACTGTGTCACCTCCCCAGTCCCAACATCTCATTTCAATTAGACTCATGAAATCTAAGCTTGAGGCATAGAAATAGTCAGGCCCAAGTCTTTGATAGCTGAGGTATTACTTTTGAACAATGAAGTGAAGAGATTTAAGTCTTGTGGATTTTTGGAGGTTTATAGGGTAGATCCAGAAATTTCACAGTAGTCACCATTTCAGGATGAAATTGAGAACAGAGACAGAGAAGAGTAGTGCCTAATATCTAGACATTTACTCACCAATTTATCTCCTAAATATGTTATTTTTGGATCCTTCAATAAATAATAACTGAATATCTGATACTAGGTATCTGGCAATTTTCTAGACAATGGGAAAAAAGCATTTCTGTAGTTTCCAGAGCTTAAATCCACCTGGGGTTGAGGATTGAACAGAGCTATGTTTCATTGTGCACATTTTTAAACTTGTAGCTATAAATCATGTGTACTGAGAGAACTCAATTTTATGCATTCCTCCAATCCAAATGATATCTGTAAGTAGACCAGGCTATTGCGGGGTTTGATTGTGACCTACAAAGTGACTTACATTGAAGAGCTTTCTTGATGCAGTCCTGTTCCACAAGATGAATGTTGCTGGAAGAGAGTTCAGGTGTAGAAATCAAGGGGTAAGGGAACAGGGTATGCATAGAAAGGAAGGGGGAAGAGAGAAGGGAAGGTAGGAGAGAAGGGTGATCAGGGAGGAACAGGAAATGCCAAGTAGAAGCATAGGAAAGAAGAATTGTGTGTTCCACCTGAGCCACTGGGAGAACAGGAAGCACTCCTATTGCAGGATTGTGAAGAAAACAGGCAGTGAACTACTGTGTGCTTTGACTGAACATCGCTGACTTGGGCTCCACATTGTTTTGCCCAAGGCAGTGTGAAGTGTGTCACACACACAGAAGAGTATCCAACCCTTAAGTATATATTTAAAGTTTCAAGAAACAAAATTTACAAATGAAATCTTACTTTGAGGTGTAGGGTATGTAAGCTGGGGACTTGTGCATGCTAAACAATGCTCTGCCACTGAACTGCATCCTCAGAAAGCAGCACAAATTTAAAATTTAAAGTTAGAATGGGACTAGTACCTACAAAGCACTCTGTATAGCTGAAGGTGACAGCTGTCTTCATCCTGAAACAGCAGGCTAGCTTGTTTTGGTTCTCTCTCTCTCTCTCTCTCACCTTTATCTATCTGTCTATCAATCATCTATCTATCATCTATCTATCTATCATCTGTCTATATTATCAATCTATCCATCCATCTATCCACTCATCTATTCACCTACCTAACAATTTTTCATCTATCATCTATCTATTATCCTCTATCCTCTATCATCTATCTACTTATCTTCATCTATCATCTATCTATCTATCTATCTATCTATTTATCTATCATCTATATATCTATCATCTATCTATATCTTCAATCTATCCAAACATCTATCCACCCATCTATCCACCCATCCATCTATCTACCTACCTATTTATTATCTATCTATCTATCTACCTATCATCTATCTATCTATCATCTATCTATCTATTATCTATCTATCTATTATTTATCTATCTATCTATCTATCTATCTATCATCTACCTACCTATATATCATCTATTTATCATCTCTCTATTATCTATCTACGTCATCAATCTATCCATTCATTTATCCACCCATCTATCCACCTACCTATCTAACCATTTATCATCTATCTATTATCTATCTATCTATTATCTATGTATCATCTATCTATCTTCTATCTATCACCTATCTTCTATCATTCAATCAATCAATCAAGCAATCTATCTATCATCTATCTATCTATCTATCTATCTATCTATCTATCTATCTATCTATCATCTCTCTATTTATCTAATCTATGTATCAATCATCTATCATCTATCTATCTATCTATCTATCTATCTATCTATCTATCTATCTATCATCTGTCTATCTATCTTCTATCATCTATCTCTCTGAGAGGGGACTGGGAATTATACAGTGTACTGTTTGTGTGTGTGTGTCTACCTTCTTTAATTAATCATTCTGTTTTGAAGACACATTCATACTGCCGCATAAACTTGTAGTTTATTCAGTTTTATTCCTGTGTATTATTGCATTATGTGAATATATCAGAATATGTGTTTGTCCATTACACAAATGAAAGATAACTCGAATTTTTCTTGGTTTTACTATTGTAAAGAGTGCTGACAGGAATATTTCCATGCCAGTCTTCAGTGGATTTAACATATGCATTTCCATTCCATAGGTAAACTGGAATTGTTGCGTCAAAAGGTCTGACTTGTTCTATTTTATTGGTTATAGCCAAGCAGTCTTCCAAAGAGATTACTCTACTTTATATTCCCACCAGCTGTGTGTCTGGGACCAGATGTCGATGTCATTTGTTCTTGCCAGGATTTGGGATGTCCTGCTTTCTGTTTCAGCTTCTCTGAAGATTTTATAAGAGCATAGTGCTGTGACTTAACTTGCATTTTCCTGATTATTAATTATGTTAAGCACATTTTCATGTTAGTGGCCATTTGGATGACATTTGTTGAAATATTTGCTCAAGTGTTTTCCATGTGTTCAATTCTTAAAATGTTGGTTATTTCACTTATTGGTCTCAAAGTATAATGTTAAACAAATTGATAATAATGATCTCCTTCCTTCAGATCTTGAAAGGCTGGTTTTTAATATGCATATCATAGTGTAGGAAATAAATTTGTATTTAAGGTTGGGTCCTCTTGCCCCTTTTCCCAGTTCTATGCTAGGATTTTGACTGATTGACTTTGCATGGGTCTTAAATATGCATATCATAGTGTAGGAAATAAACTTGTATTTAAGGTTGGGTCCTCTTGCCCCTTTTCCCAGTTTTATGCTAGGATTTTGACTGATTGACTCTGCATGGGTCTTAAATATGCATATCATAGTGTAGGAAATAAACTTGTATTTAAGGTTGGGTCCTCTTGCCCCTTTTCCCAGTTTTATGCTAGGATTTTGACTGATTGACTCTGCATGGGTCTTAAATATGCATATCATAGTGTAGGAAATAAACTTGTATTTAAGGTTGGGTCCTCTTGCCCCTTTTCCCAGTTCTATGCTAGGATTTTGACTGATTGACTTTGCATGGGTCTTGTGCATGCTGTCACCATTGCTTCAAGTTTATATGAGCAAGTTCCCAGAGGCCTAGTAGACTCTGCCTCCTCATGATCATGCACCAACCCTGGCTCCTACAATCTTTATGACACCTCCTCTGTAATGATCCCTCAACCATGAGTGGGTGAGGTTTAATCTAAGAGTCCCAGGGGCTGTAGAGATATCTCAACGGTTAAGAACACTGGCTTTTTTTGCAGAAGACTCGGGTTTGAATCCCAGCACCCACATGGCAGCTAACAACTGTCTGTAAATCCAGTCCCAGGGGATCTGACAGTCTCATTTGACCTCTGCAGGCATTGCGTGACACGGGTGCACTTACCTACATGCAGGCAATACACACATACACATAAAACAAAAATAAAATAAAAGAGTCCTATCTAGTGACATGGTCTCCACAGTCTGTAATTCTCTACATTTTGGCCAACTGTGGCCTTCTGTGTACATGACCCTCTGTTGCATGAGGAAGCTTCATTGGTGAGAGTTGAGAGATGCACTAGTATTCTCTCTACGAACTGTTCTGCTATGTTCTGTGAGCCTTAGTTGTAGAGGTCCATTGTGTATGTGTCACTTAGGGTTGGGCATTTCACAGATATTCTCTGTATGTGACCAGTTGTGGAACTCTGTAACAGTCTCCATCTGTTGCAAAAAGAAGCTTTGATGAGTGGTAGACTGTACACTTTCCATTAATAGAAGGATCCACATTTAGCATAGAGTAAGAAATATTTTTCTAGGAATAGGACAGAGGAAGGGTTTTATCTAGGATCTATGACCTCTCCAGTCATGTGTATTTGGTTATGTTTACAATACCACACATGAGTTCTCTCTCATTGAGAAGACTTTAAATCCAATTTGATAGCAGTTGGTTACAAGATAAGAGTGCCACTACTACGCTGCTGTAATCGTTTATTAGGCTTCAAAGCTGTAGTTGGACCATTGACTGATTTTCTCCCTTAGCAGCTCACAGAGTATTCTCTAGAATTATGAGTGCTTGTTTTCAGGGAAGAGACTTCCAATTCAATTCCAAACTTCATAGCTCCAACTCCTTGTCTGAATTATGTCCTGTCTCAGCAGTAGGTCTTACCTTCAAGTTCTAGAAGGTAATCAAAGACTGTGACAAAAGTCTGTGTTATTCTGGTTATCTCCTGGACTACCCTGACCAACATCTTGAAGGGTGATTTCTCCTGTCTGGCACTGTGTTTCTTGTTATGTTTACTTAAGGTACACACATGCACTCATGTTCAGATATTGTACGCATATTTTTCAGTAGGTTTTTGAGCTAATGCATCTGCATCTGGTTCTTAACACCACCTAAGATTTCTCTCTCTCCTCTCTCCCTGTCTAACCTCCTTCCTCCCTCCCTAGTTTAAGTATACTCATTTTTCCTTT